GTCCAGCTCGTTGGCGGGCCGGCGGGTGGGCCCGGCGACCTGGGCCTGGGGCTGGGCGCCCGCGGCCGGGGGTCCTGGCCCGAGGAGGGGCTTCAGCTCTGAAGTGAAGACGGAGGACGAGCTGCGGGTGCGGCACCTGGAGGAGGAGAACCGAGGTGAGGGGCGCGGCGCGGAGGGCCGGCCGGGTCGGGGGGGCTCGTCCAGCCCGCGGTGCTTCCGCTCTGCGCCCATTTCGTGCTTCAGTACCGAAACGAGCGCCTCGGAGCGGCTCACCTGTGCGGCGGCCACCTTCGACGCGGGGACAGAGGGGCCCGTTGCGACCCCCGCTCTAGCCCGACAAGGTCAATACACCGGGTGTTTAGTTCTTGCTTCCAGGGTCTTTTCTTGCCGTGCAGTGGCTTTCTGTCCAGATGTCAGTGGTAGAGTTGTAGAAGCTGCAGTGAGAATGCCCGTTCTTATTCCGAAGATTCTCGGAACATTTGAAGCGTTCAGCTGGAACGATTTTTCCTCTTGTCCATTTCATCTCAGGAAGTTAGTTTTGGGGGATTGTTCCACTTCGTTGGAACAATTCTGGGCATTTTTGGCCTCTCCAGGCTCGAGGCAGGCGTGCGGGTAGTACTGGTCTTGCCCTTGGAGTCCTGCAGTGGGAGGAGACGGATGCACTAGCAGTGCGGTGCGGAGAAGCCTGTGGAAGGGGTGGCGTTCGGAGACGGTGCTGGTGGAGCTCAGCGCCCTTCACCCGCGGCGCTGGGAACAGCCGAACAGGTTGCGGTAGGTGGCATAGCGGTTTGCCTGTACTAAGCCAGAGGACAGGTCATTTAATTTCGACTTGCATTTATTGAGCAACTATAATCTGTTCATCAGAAGTGAAAATCGAAGTCATGATTGCTGTCTTAGTAGAGGGAAGAGGATCCTGGCAATGAATAGGCTGTGCTTTTTTTTTTAGTAAAAGATCTCATTTGGCTTAATTGTGATTCTAGAATCAGACAACAGGTCATTCCATGAAATAGAACAAGTGTTCCAATGAACTGAGCAGCAGAGGTTGACTTTATAGGCAGGAAAAAAAAAAAAGGCTGAAGAAAGCAGACACGAACAAAAAGCGGACTGGTTATTTTAAAGTTACTTTTCTTGTAAGGTGGGGAATGGGAGACAGAACAATAGAAAAATAGCTGATTATTTAACATTGAAACTTCATCACCATGCCTGTTAAAGGTTTAAACTGGCATGTTTGGGAAATTGCTTGTTATCTCTCCTGATTTCTCCGAAGGTCATATGGGAACTGAGTATCCCTCTGGTCATATGAACTTTAGCTGGAGTGACTCCATCTTGATTTTTTATTCTGGTCTTTTTTTTTTTTTTTTTTTTAAAGATGACCGGTAAGGGGATCTCAACCCTTGGCTTGGTGTTGTCAACACCACGCTCAGCCAGTGAGCTAACCGGCCATCCCTATATAGGATCCGAACCCGGGGCCTTGGTGTTATCAGCACCGCACTCTACCGAGTGAGCCACGGGCCGGCCTTATTCTGGTCTTTTGGGGCCTAGTTCAGAAATTTAGTTCAAAAAATGGCCTTTTACAGTTTTATTCAACAGTCCCTCCAAAACAAAACTCAGGTTTGTTTATGCATCAGTGCTTCTCTCAGTTATCATCATTCTGAGTTCCCGGTCTCAGCATGCAAGGCATTCTTCAGTAGGCAGTGAATTTTGCCATTAGTGAGGGTCCTTGGGCAAACTTCTCTATGCCTCAACTATTTCATGTGTAAAATAGGAAAAGTAATAATGCCAACTTTACAGGGTTGCTGTGAATATTAGATGAGATTGTTAATATAAGTTACCCATAGTAGGTGTTCAGGAGTATGATGTTCTTTCATTTATTATTTATTACTCCACGTAGAGGCAAGAGCTTGGTAAAAGGCATGGAGAGGTGAACATGTGTGGTGTTCTTGGGAAGTAGTATAAGGCAGGTATGGAAGTAATATAAGGCAGGTGTGGCTGTAGTGTGCATGACAGGCCGAATAGTAAGAAATTCAGCAGGAAGCAGACTGGCACTGGAGTGACTGGAGCTATGAATTGCCACTGTCTTTTGGCTAAGCTTAGTCGTGCTGGGATTTCAGTAATATTAGGTGTACCAACAGTATGTTAGACACAAACGATTGCAAGGTACAGCTCATGATAAGCACCATAGTCTATTTTTTTGTCTTTATGTCTTAAATGAATGCAGATTGAAAGTAAATTTGCACAGAAAGTCTGAAGAGTCTTTAAACAAGGATTCAAATGGACTAAAACAGAAGATAATCAGAACATAAAAGACAATTTAATAAATTCTAATGTTTTTAATTTCTCTGAAATATAAGAATCAGCTATTAGGACATCCATGGTATCTTGGGAAAATTGACTCAGTCTCCTTTGAGGATTGGCAAGAATAATGACTCAGGTTTGTCTAATGTTACGCTTTATTATCTAACTAGCAATCAGCAGTGCAAAGACAAACGCAAGGTCAAGGATTCTATAGGTGAAAGAGTCTCCCTGGTGCCTTTGTTTTTCATAGAGGCAAGTCCAAAATTTGGTACTCTCCATAGCTTTTAAGGAATAGGAGAACTCTCTCAGGTCAAAGGAGCCCCATACTTCACTTGCAGCCCGTTAGGTTAGGTGGGTGGGTGTGGGGGTGGGTAGGTGCAGAGTACATGAAGCCTCATCTCTAGTCTGGGTTCCATATTTGTTATTTGTTGTGGAGGCACGGTTATATAACCAAGTTTTTTTAGTGGTTATTTCTTGAATTGTTCATCCTACTCAGAGTTTTAGAGCAGAGGTCCTGGTCACAACTTACAAAGGTCTCTTCTGGTCTGCTGTAGCAACCTACTTCATAGATCTCCTTCCCAGTTTATTCTTCATGCTGGTGCTGGGGTTACCTTTGTTCAAGGCCAAAAATCACTTGTCTCAGTTAAAAACCTCTAATGGCTCCCTGTTGCCTGCAGGGCCTTCTCAACTGTCAGGCCTTTTCAGTCTATCCCCCTAAGTTTTGCCTTTCCTTGCTCTTTTCCATATCTCGGCTTTTGTACACACCTCCTAGAAGGAATCGCTCCGTCGTCCGTACTCCAGTCTGGCAAGCTTTTACTCGTAATTGTGACCCATTTCAGAAATCCTCTTTGTGGGCTGGCGGGTTAGCTCAGTTGGTTAGAACACAGTGTTATAACACCAAGGTCACAGGTTCAGATCCTCATACTGGCCAGCCGCCAGAAAGAAAGAAAGAAAGAGAGAGAGAGAGAGAGAGAGAATCATCTTTTTGAGCCCATCAGAACAACTTCTGGCAGAAATAGAGCAAAGAAGCTGCACCTTCCTGACACTTCACATCTAGATTATCCTTAGGACTTCTTGAGTGTCTTTGCAGTCTTTCCACGCTCTTTACCAACACTGCTCTTGTTCAAAACCTACTGCCAAGGTCTGCTAGCTGGTCTTCCTATGTCTACTTTCTTTTCTTTTTAAACAGGTGATTCCTTTCATATGTTTTGTCTTAAAAATATATTTTTATGTATTTTATGGTATGTGAATTATATCTCAGTAAAGATGTACATCGAAATGTGTGGATGTATGAGTATTTTTTATTCTTTATTGAGATATAATTTACATACCATAGAATTTAAAATGTACAGTTGTTTCTAGTCTGTTCACAGAGTTATGCTGTAACCATTAACACGATCTAGTTTTAGAACATTTTTATCAACCTCAAAATACAGAAACCCTCTACTCTTTAACAGTGACTCATTTTCTCCTCCTTCCCCCCAGCTCTGAAAAAACATTTATCTATTTTCTATCTCTAGATCTGTCTACTCTGGGCATTTATATAAAGAAATCATGTAATATATGGTGTTCTTTCACTTAGCATAGTATTTTCAAAGTTCATCCTTGTTGTAGCTTGTATTAGTATATCTGTCCTTTTTATGGCCAAATCATATTCCATTGTATGGATATACCACATTTTATCTATTCATCATTAATGTACATTTGGGTTGTATATTATGAACAGTGACTCAGAACATTCATATATAAGTTTTTGTGGACATTTTTTTATTTCTACATAGGAATAGAATTGCTGGGTCATTTGGTAATTCTATGATTAACATTTTGAGGAACCACCAAACTTTTCCAAAGTGGCTGCAGCATGTTACATTCCCATCAGCAAAGCATGAGGGCTCTGATTTCTCCATATCCTGGCCAACATTTGGTGGTGTTTTTCCTTTTAATTATAGCCATCCTGATGGGTAGGAAGTGGGTTACTCATTGTGGTTTTGATTTGGATTTATCTAATGGCTAATGATTTGAGCATCTTTTTTTAAAGTTGCTAAGGAAATCTATTTGAAGGGGGCTACTCTAGTGGGTTTTTGTATTAGGAGAGATTGAGATCAGGCTCAGCCCTCTGTTGAGCATCTTGTCATGTGTTTATTGGCTATGTGTGTATCTTTGGAGAAATGTGTACTCAAATTCTTTGTCTGTTTTTAAATTGAATTGCTTGTCTTTTTATTGTTGAGTTGTAAACGTCCTTTATTTGTTCTGGATACAACTACCTTATCAGATAGATGATTTGCAAATATTTTCTCTCCTTCTCTGGGTGTCTTTTCACTTTCTTGATGGTATATTTTGAAGAGCTAACATTTTAAATTTTGATGTAGTCCAATTTATCTATTTTGTTGTTGCTGTGCTTTTGGATCATGTCTTAGAAACTATTGCCTAACCCAAGGTCACAAAGATTTATGCCTTTGTTTTCTTCATAGAGTGTTATCTCTTACATTTGTGACTGTGATTCAATTTGAGTTAATTTTTGTATATGGTGTGAGATAAGAGAACTGACATCATTCTTTTGCTTGTGTATATCCAGTTGTTTCAGCACTATTTGTTGAAAAGACTATTCTTTCAACCATTGAACTTAGTATTCTTGGGAAAAATTAACTGACTATAAATAGAAGGGATTACTTATGGATGCTCAATTATATTCCTTTGATCTGCATATCTATCCTTATGTCAGTTCCACACTGATTACTGTAGTTTTGTAGTAAAATTTGAAATTGGATAGCATGAGTCCTCCAACTTTGTTCTTTTTTAAGAATATTTTGGTTGTTCTGGGACTCTTGCCTTACCATGTAAATTTTAGGGTCAGCTTGTG